ACTTATTTTGGCACTTTATACTGCGAAGTTTGAGCTTAGAAAATTGACAGAAAATGATAAAAAATATTTTGAACTGTTTTTGTTCTAAACCTGTAGTTGTTCTAAACCTCTTGGTATAAGGTGGAATGTTAGGTTAGATTCATTTTATTTTGGTTCAAGCCTATAGGGGAAACAATCGAGTTATACAAAAAGAGAAGTTCTCGACAATGGCCAATTTGTTTGACCCTTTCGGATGGTTGGGGCCAGTTATTACCATTGCAAAAATTATTATGCAAAAGGTCTGGTTAGATCAAATCGGTTGGGAACCCCCTTGTAGAGACTACTTACTCGGAGTGGCGTAAATTTGAATCCTACCATGAAGTCGACCTAATTCGAATTCCTCGTTGGGTCCAGTATACCCCCAAATGTTCGGCGAGCTTTTTGGGGCAGTTTTAGCTTCGGAACTTTTGAAAGTAATAGTGAATTTCATCAAGTGTATTGTTGGACGGATTCTACCATCATTGTATCATGGTTTGGAAAAACCCCATCAACTTTTACTAAATTTGTTGCCAATAGGGTTGGTAGTATTCAAGAAAATGTTGGCAACCATAACTGGTATCACGTTCGTTCAGAGGACAATCTAGCTCTAGCTCTCTTTGGTGGCATCGGCCAGACAGGCTCAGCCAAGATAAATCGAGTTGGTCTATACGAGATTTAACTCCGCTTGAGACTGACATAGAAATGTGTACTGATACAGTGTCATTTCTCATTCTTTTCGTCGATTTTTACCGATATTTTGGGCAGATACTCGTCATTTGTGAAAGGATCTCGGTCTGTCGTTTATATGTTTAGATTTTTTGCATCAAACACATTTTAGTTACCATGGTAAATATTATTACTTCGCTTACGGTTGATAGTCATCTCTCAAAAAGTCCACTTCGCTAAAGATTAAAGGATTTGATGGATAAAAAACCCTTGTCACCTTCGAATCATTTAGTTTCACTTAATCCGATGCTTGTTGAAAATGGTGTCATGCGCATGGATGGTCGTTTGACGCGGTCACCTACACTTTCCCTCTCAGAACGTTGTCCAATAATTCTGCCATAAAAGTAGTTTCGCTATACATTTGGTGGAATATATTCACAGTGTTTGGCTTGCTTGTTTGGGATACCATAGTATTTTGTTGTTGCAAAATCGTTAGGCAAAATCCCATTATTGTTGTTTTTATAAAAACAACGTTTGTTTATGAGTGGAGAACGATGGTAATGTTTACCAGGGGGTAAGGCAGGGAATACCTAGGTTTCGGAAAGAGCCACCAATCCTCATCAGTTCCCTTGTTTCTTGTCTGGGATATTCTCCCCAGAAGTTATTTTAAAAAATAACTTCTATGACAAAAAACATTTTTTTACCCAAGTGACGAGATCGTAAGCTCAATAGAAGAGGAACAAAAGAATTACATAAAACTAAAATTCTTTTGGAAAATCTTCTAAATCTTACAACCGCACTTATAAACATTTTCATCTTTCTCCACTTGTTATGATTTCGTTCAGCCTGAACGAAGTAACATAACCATGTAAGTTTGTTTTGTCTGTTACAACAAAACCCCTACGTCGACCGTGCCTGTGTCTATTAATAGAACAGTGTTTGGCTTGCTTGTTTGGGATACCATAGTATTTTGTTGTTGCAAAATCGTCAGGCAAAATCCCATTATTGTTGTTTTTATAAAAACAACGTTTGTTTATGAGTGGAGAACGATGGTAATGTTTACCAGGGGGTAAGGCAGGGAATACCTAGGTTTCGGAAAGAGCCACCAATCCTCATCAGTTCCCTTGTTTCTTGTCTGGGATATTCTCCCCAGAAGTTATTTTAAAAAATAACTTCTATGACAAAAAACATTTTTTTACCCAAGTGACGAGATCGTAAGCTCAATAGAAGAGGAACAAAAGAATTACATAAAACTAAAATTCTTTTGGAAAATCTTCTAAATCTTACAACCGCACTTATAAACATTTTCATCTTTCTCCACTTGTTGTGATTTCGTTCAGCCTGAACGAAGTAACATAACCATGTAAGTTTGTTTTGTCTGTTACAACAAAACCTCTACGTCGACCGTGCCTGTGTCTATTAATAGAACAGTGTTTGGCTTGCTTGTTTGGGATACCATAGTATTTTGTTGTTGCAAAATCGTCAGGCAAAATCCCATTATTGTTGTTTTTATAAAAACAACGTTTGTTTATGAGTGGAGAACTATGGTAATGTTTACCAGGGGGTAAGGCAGGGAATACCTAGGTTTCGGAAAGAGCCACCAACCCTCATCAGTTCCCTTGTTTCTTGTCTGGGATATTCTCCCCAGAAGTTATTTTAAAAAATAACTTCTATGACAAAAAACATTTTTTTACCCAAGTGACGAGATCGTAAGCTCAATAGAAGAGGAACAAAAGAATTACATAAAACTAAAATTCTTTTGGAAAATCTTCTAAATCTTACAACCGCACTTATAAACATTTTCATCTTTCTCCACTTGTAATGATTTCGTTCAGCCTGAACAAGTAACAAGCAAGCCAAACACTGTTCTATTAATAGACACAGGCACGGTCGACGTAGGGGTTTTGTTGTAACAGACAAAACAAACTTACATGGTTATGTTACTTCGTTCAGGCTGAACGAAATCATAACAAGTGGAGAAAGATGAAAATGTTTATAAGTGCGGTTGTAAGATTTAGAAGATTTTCCAAAAGAATTTTAGTTTTATGTAATTCTTTTGTTCCTCTTCTATTGAGCTTACGATCTCGTCACTTGGGTAAAAAAATGTTTTTTGTCATAGAAGTTATTTTTTAAAATAACTTCTGGGGAGAATATCCCAGACAAGAAACAAGGGAACTGATGAGGATTGGTGGCTCTTTCCGAAAACTAGGTATTCCCTGCCTTACCCCCTGGTAAACATTACCATCGTTCTCCACTCATAAACAAACGTTGTTTTTATAAAAACAACAATAATGGGATTTTGCCTGACGATTTTGCAACAACGGAATATATTCACGTCAAGAATGTTCACGGAGGAACACAGCTGATGCTTCGTACCTTGAAAATGGAATTATGGATTCCCAGATCAAAAAATTTGATTCGCTCTGTCATTCGTCATTGTAAGGTATGGATTTTGGATAAAAAGAAACATTGTAGTCAAATTATGGCCGCTCTTCCATCGGAAAGAACAATTATCGATAGGGTGTTTACTACAGCTGGTGTGGACTTTGCTGAGAGAAAATCGTTTTCGGGTCGGGCTTGCAAAATTGCAAAAGGATATGTTTGTGTATCCGTTTGCTTCTCGACCAAGGCTGTTCATTTGGAGGCAGTATCGGATTAGTCCACTGCCAATTTTATAGCCGCATTACATAGCTTTATAGCGCGTCGAGGTGCGGAATTATAATCGTTTCATTCGTAAAAGTTGTGATTCAGTTTCGGAGGCTCTTGTTCATCAGGGTGTCGTATGGAAATTCATTGCAGCTGGTGCACCACATATGTGTGGTCTATGGGAAGCTGAAGTGAAAAGTTTTAAGCAACATTTCCGAAAACATTGTCGAAATCTTCGTTTCACTTTTAAAGAAATGGCCACAGTATTAGCTCGCATAGAGGCTTGTTTGAATTCGCGGCCGCTTTGTCCTATGTCAGACGATCCAGATGAATTAGTTTCCTTAACACCCGGTCACTTTCTTATTGGCGCGCCTTTACTAGATCCTCCTAAATCCATGATTAATGATCCCCCGATATCGCTCGTGAATCGGTTTAGAAAAGCCCAAGCGCTTGCTCATCAATTTTGTATCAGATGGAAGGAGGAATATCTCAAATATGTATTTGCATATGCGGTGCAAGTGGAAGTACCCTGAAAGGGATGTTGATAAGGGTGATTTAGTAGTCGTTTGACAACAAAATCTTCCACCGACCTCATGGAAGTTAGGTCGCGTTGTAAATATTTATCCCGGTATAGACGAACACGTTCGTGTCGTGGACGTTCGTACGACAAACGACGTTGTAAAGCGACCGATAGCTAAGTTGGTCATTCTGACCGGCCAATCAACGAATGTAGAAAATTAAAACATTTTTTCTTAGTATAATGGGTGCCACCAATATGTTTGAAATCGAACTACCAGTAGATTGATAACGTATTAGAGACAGCGGATGAGATAACTGAAACTATCGATAGCTCTTGTTCAATGAATTGAATCATTTGTTTAAAATAAGAGAAAGTAAATTATAAAAACTAAAACAATTGCAAATGAAAATCAGTTTACACCGGCATTTGTCAGTCCTTTGTAAAATGTCGGCTTACAAATATTAAAATATATTTATTTTAATACGTTTAATCTTAAGAGTGATTTTACGAATAAATGAAGTATATCTTTTACATGAGCTATCTTCTCCATCGACTTGAATTGTAATTCTATTACTTCAAACAGTTTATTCTTTCGACTTTGTTAGTGACTGCATAAACCGTATATACATATTATGATTAATTTCTTCGCAATCAATTGAATTTGTAGAACATCCCAAGACCATGTGCCTATACTCCATTCTCCAATATTAGTTCATAGAACTGACGCCACTCCAAATGAACTGTGTGAAATTAAGTCAGTTCTCAGGTGAGATCCAATTGCCCAACGACCCTACATTCATTGCTGAATTAAGGTTGAATTTATTAAGCCTTTTTTTAAACATTATAATTGGAGAGAGCAACAATAATTGGGAGTAACATTTCACACTTTAATGTATTATCTTAATTTACAATATGGTAAAGCTGGGAAAAATTATGATTTATAATAAACTAGGTTAAAAATTCCTTTCTACCGGGAATATAATATTGTTGAACGGTTAAATCTCAATTAAACTCAAAAACTAGATAAAAAACAGGAGAAGAGACATTGCTGAATTAAATAAAGCCCAATCGGTATATACCCTTATGAAACTATTCTTTTCTTTTTTATGTGGGGCCTTTATTATTGTTGAAAGTAATTTTACGAAACAACTGCTTCTTTGTTCCGGCTCTGTAAAATCACATAAATTTAAATTTGCATTTTATACCTAGATTATTCTTCTCTAAAAACCACAATGACTTTAAGGACTTCAAATAGAAAATAGAATAAAATTTCTAAGTCACTATTACAATCCTTTTAAAAACATTTTTGATTGATTACAAATCCAATGATTGAGGTGCAGCAAGAAAGGCAAGGACGCTTTTTATCCATTGGTCAATAACCTTCAGAATGAATGTAGTATTAGCAATACAAAGAACATACACATCTATGTATATATGATTATTTTCTTACAGGATTATTTGAGTGTTTTATTTGTGTAAGTATATTCTAAACTTTCTCCGCCACGTTGACATCGTTCAAGTATTAAGTGAAACTGGGCCGGATGGATGGCTGTATGAATCACCTGTAAATATCTATTGTTGTTTGATGAGACCTTATAGCCGTAATTGTTTAATTTGGGATAAATTCTCCAACTTTGTGCACCAAGTAAAATAGTAATGGAGAAAACTTATGAGGTGTAACTAACAGAATGATGATCTACACGTTTTAAAGTTGTCTCATTGAACTGTTTTGAAATATAATCGAATACTTCTAGGTGCATCTTGTAAGGCTATAGAACGGTGTTTTTTTGGGGCTTCAATTGGAAACAATTTCTAATATTCTGCAATTTTTATTTTTTAACTGCTATCATGGCAAAATAAAACAGGTAATAGTGCAAAAATAAAGTGATGTTTTAATGTTTTCCTATGCAACTTCGTTAATAATTTATTATTATTTTCAATAATCTTGACAATTGTCCATACTTTTAGAATCCCAATAAAGACATTACATTTTACCACATTCTACATATATAAACATTTGGCTGCTCACTAACTAATGATTATATTGTGCGTTTACATACACATAAATAGGGAATTATTTATTATATAAGGAAATTTTATCATGTTTATATATGACATTATTATATTTTCAAAGGACATAGACGAACATGCAAAACATTTAAATACTATCATTTCTTTAGATAAATCCAAATTTTATAAAAAAGAAGTGGAATTTCTAGGCTACGTAGTAGCAGAAGGAATAATTAAAGCTGATCCAAAGAAGATCGAAACTATAAAAGAATATCCTATGCCAACAGCAATAAGACAACTGAGAGGAATAACAGGATATAATAGAAAATTCATAAAAAAAACTATGCAAAAATAGCAAATCCATTAAAGAAGAATTCAGCTGGTAAAGGAAAAGTATCACAAAGAACATCAAGTAAAGTATTCATTGAAGTGATGAGGAAGGAAAGCAAGCTTTTGGAAATTTAAAATGTTCTTTACAAAATGCAGTGGAATGAAATCAATATTATACCAAAAAACTCGCTTTGACAACTGCCGAATCAAGGAAGCAGTAGGAGCACAAGATGATATACCCCTAATATTTATTTCAAAAACATTAGATAAAAGCCAACAAAATTACGCAACTAATGAAAAAGAATTATATGCTATAGAATGTGCTTTGATGTCTATAAGAAATTATTTATACGGAACCAAGAATCTGGAAATTCAAACAGATCATCAATCATTACCTTTCTCAGTCTCACCAAGGAACCCAAATTCACAAATAAAAAGATGGTTGTTTTATTGGAGGAATATTCATCAATTATTATTTCTAAACCTGGAAAACAAATCTTGTAGCAGACGCGTTATCACGTCAACATATAAATCAACTTACAGAAACCAATAATATTCAGAAAGTGAATCAATTACCTCTTTAGAAACTCAACATTCAAACGAAAGGTTAGATAGACTTATATCCCAGAAACAGAAAAGCTTTTACATCAATTTACTCAAAAATTGTTAATTCACCCAGGTAAGTTTATAATTCACGAACAATCAGTTTTTGATAAAAAAAAAGAAATTTATGACACAAATCATATTAGCTACATATTAAAATCCAGATTTACCGACAGCAATACACCGCACACCAAAAACAATATACGATATTAAAAATGTGTTAAAGGAAACATTTCTATCTACAAATTTATACATACAAAACTAACGTCACTGGACGTAACAAAATCGGAAGAAAAAAAGAGCGTAATTGAAAAGGAACACACTCGAGCACACAGGAAATTTTACTAAAACTATAATTAAATCAAATACAAAACTTACTGGTTAACTATGATAAAGGAACTAAATGAATATATCAGAAATTGAAAACTTTGTGATAAGAACAAATATTGTAGAAGCCCATAGAATACAAATTAAATTAATATATTGTTCACCAGGACACAATGAAACTAACGGACAGGTACAAAGAGTGCATTCAACTATAATTGAAATGAAAAGATGTTAATAATATAATAAACAGTAGTCATCACAAAACTATACATCTATTACGTTAAGAAAATATATTTAAGTAAGAAGAAAAAAGTGTAAAAAGACTAAAGAAAAATTGAAAGAATTTGCTTAATCGGAATTAAGAAAAAGTTTTGATGAGCTTTATGAATCAAACAAAAGAGATCTGGGACGTGTCACTTAAGACAGGGGGCAGTTAACAATTGATAAGGTGAACACATCTAGAATCCAATTATGTATGTCTCGTAGCTTAAGACCATAAATGACCACCCGATCATAAAAATATTAAATATTTATTTTTATAAATAAAGAAATAAGAAACTGTATATAGCTCTTATTCAATGAAATGAATCATTTGTTTAAAATAAGAGAAAGTAAATTATAAAAACTAAAACAATTGCAAATGAAAATCAGTTTACACCTAGACCTTAAACTAAGCGTAGGAAACAAATGCTTTCGGCATTTGTCTGTCCTTTGTAAAGTGTCGGCTTAAGAGAAAGTCGGCTTGTTTAAAATAAGAGAAAGTAAATTATAAAAACTAAAACAATTGCAAATGAAAATCAGTTTACACCTAGACCTTAAACTAAGCGTAGGAAACAAATGCTTTCGGCATTTGTCAGTCCTTTGTAAAGTGTCGGCTTACGAATATTAAAATAAAATTATTTTAATATGTTTAATCTTAAGAGTGATTTTACGAATAAATGAAGTAAAATATAATACATAATTTTTCTAGCTCGGATTGAAACACCTTAATTTGTTAAAAAAAAAGATAGCGTACACATGTATATATTTTACATGCGCTATCTTCTCCATCGACTAGAACATCCCAAGGCCATGTGCCCATACTCCATTCTCCAATATTAGTTCATAGAACTGAAGTCACTTCAAATGAACTGTGTGGAATTAAATCGGTTCTCAGGTGAGATCCAATTGCCCAACGACCCTACATTCATTGCTGAATTAAGGTTGAATTTATTGAGCCTTTTTTAAAAACATTATAATTGGAGAGAGCAACAATAATTGGGAGTAACATTTCACACTTTAATGTATTATCTTAATTTACAATATGGTAAAGCTGGGAAAAATTATGATTTATAATAAACTAGGTTAAAAATTCCTTTCTACCGGGAATATAATATTGTTGAACGGTTAAATCTCAATTAAACTCAAAAACTAGATAAAAAACAGGAGAAGAGACATTGCTGAATTAAATAAAGCCCAATCGGTATATACCCTTATGAAACTATTCTTTTCTTTTTATGTGGGCCCTTTATTATTGTTGAAAGTAATTTTACGAAACAACTGCTTCTTTGTTCCGGCTCTGTAAAATCACATAAATTTAAATTTGCATTTTATACCTAGATTATTCTTCTCTAAAAACCACAATGACTTTAAGGACTTCAAATAGAAAATAGAATAAAATTTCTAATTCACTATATAAGAGGCGACTGCCTTTCCATTTTATTACAATCCTTTTTAAAACATTTTTGATTGATTACTAATCCAATGATTGAGGTGCAGCAAGAAAGGCAAGGACGGTTGTTAAACCATTGGTCAATAACCTTCAGAATGAATGTAGTATTAGCAATAGAAGAATATACACATCTGTGTATATATGATTATTTTCTTACAGGATTATTTGAGTGTTTTATTAGTGTATGTATATTCTAAACTTTCTCCGCCACGTTGATATCGTTCAAGTAATAGGTGAAACTGGGCCGGATGGATGGCTGTATGAATCAGCTGCAAATATCTATGGTTGAGTGATGAGACCTTATAGCCGTAATTGTTTAATTTGGGATAAATTCTCCAACTTTGTGTACCAAGCAAAATAGTAATGGAGAAAACTTATGAGGTGTAAATAACAGAATGATGATGTACACGTTTTAAAGTTGTCTCATTGAACTGTTTTGAAATATAATCGAATACTTCTAGGTGCATCTTGTAAGCCTATAGAACGGTGGTTTTTTGGACTTCAGTTGGAAACAATTTCTAATATTCTGTAATTTTTATTTTATAATGTATATATATGACATTATTATATTTTCAAAAGACATAGACGAACATGCAAAACATTTAAATACTATCATTTCTTTAGAGAAATTCAAATTTTATAAAAAAGAAGTGGAATTTCTAGGCTACGTAGTAGCAGAAGGAATAATTAAAGCTGATCCAAAGAAGAACGAAACTATAAAAGAATATCCTATGCCAACAGCAATAAGACAACTGAGAGGAATAACAAGATATAATAGAAAATTCATAAAAAAAACTATGCAAAAATAGCAAATTCATTAATGAAGAATTTAGCTGGCAAAGGAAAAGTATCACAAAGAACATCAAGTAAAGTATTCATTGAACTAGATGAGGAAGGAAAGCAAGCTTTTGAAAATTTAAAATGTTCTTTGCAAAATGCAGTGGAATGAAATCAACAATATTATATCAAAAAACTCGCTTTCACAACTGACGCATCAAGGAAGCAGTAAGAGCAGTCTTATCACAAGATGGTAGACCCCTAATATTTATTTTAAAAATATTAGATATAAGCCAACAAAATTACGCAACTAATGAAAAAGAATTGTATTCTAATGCGTGTGAAGATAAAAAGGATTTTAACTAGGGAAGTCAACGCTTAGTCTGGACACACTTTCTGTTGTATAACAGATATGCGGAAAATAAAAACGATTTTTGTAATGCGAAATAAAAACGATTTCTAAACAATAAAATAACAATCTTCGGAAAGGAGAAAGGGTCATCATCAAGGCATATAATTTACTGGCGATGAAGTGGCCATTGGGAAAAATTCTTAATGTGTTTGCTGGCGACGATGGAGCCGTACGAATTGCTGATGTGAACACATCAACTGGAGTATACAAAAGGGCCATTCACATTCTTTCTCCACTATTTCCAGGAGAGCATAATGAATTATCCACAGACCAGACAACGCAGGGTGACATCGGTTTATAAAGGCAAGAATGTTAAAGATACCATTCCGAGGAAAAGAATGAAGATCGCAAATAGCCCGATAATGCTATCAGTATTATTAGCCTTGCTTATAATGCCTGTTGTCATATGCGACATGCTGAAAATAACGCAATTTCACAATGATTCGAGATTATACTTTGAAGGCTTAGGAAGAGTGAAACATAACACGGCAGAATGGAAAATGTTGGTGTATTACGATTCAACGTCTTTTGCATCAGAAATAAATTTGCTTTCAACCGGCTTAAAATCGCTGCAGCAGATGTGTCCTCTAATTCAGCAACACGAGATTTGTGAAATGTTCGTTACAGGAAAAGGAGTTATTTACCAACAGACGGTTTAAAAGATCATCAGTCAACATAGTTGGCAATAT